CTACCTACCTACCTACCTACCTACCTACCTACCTACCTACCTACCTACCTATCATCTATCTATTTATCTTTACGAACTGTCCTAAAAATCCGAGTTCCAGGTCTGGCGGGTGGATGGGCCTATTACACATGCAATGGCCAAATTGATCAATGATGTATAAAGGCAAATATCTCTTCAATGGAAGTTTTTACACTCCAATGATGTTAGCATCTAATGAAAGGTAAATGGGTAATATATTTTACGTTTCGGAGATTGCAATGTCTGTCTCTTCTTTTATATCTATATATCTCTCAATAATTACAGTGATAAAATTAGTGAAATTAACATAGCATGTTTATTGTGTTTACAAATACCGTCTTATAATTTTTCTTGGCTGCCATATATGTTTATTTTTCTATTATATTGTAATTGTTTTCAATAGTTTCAGACTTGTTTGCTACCTAGACTCACATGCCTGAGATAGGTGGCCATAAAAATTAAATAAATAAAGAGTATGAAAGTGGGAATGTGATGTTTTTGGATGACTACTTAAGGACATTCCTATTTTGCGTGAATACTAGAGGGAGGAAAATTATCCAACCAACCAACCATCCATCCATCCATCCATCCATCCATCCATCCATCCATCCATCCATCCATCCATCCATCCATCCATCCCTTCTTATAAATTGGTACCAACACTGTTAAAGTACTGTGTTTTCCCCAAAATAAGACAGGGTCTTATTTTCTTTTGCCCCATGAAATGTGGCCTTGGGCTTATTATAGGGAAAGGGCTTATTGTTTTGAGATTGCTGGGCAGCTGTTCCCTTGTGAGTGAGCTCCCAAAGAGCCGGGCACAGCCAAGGCACGTGGTGCTCTGCCCGCTCCCCAGCTCCCGCGGCTTGGCACATTTGGGATACCCCCTAGGTCCGTCCATGGAGTTCTGCCCAGCTGGAGAAGGTGGTTGCGCAAGCGCCTGTTCCGCCCCCAGCAAGCACGCCTCCCAGCCTCACCATGCCCTGACCCAACTCTCTCTGCAGGGCCAGGGTTCCGCCGCCGCTGCCCTCTGAGCATAACTTCTTCTCCGGCTTCGAAACTCCAAAACTCGGCTGCCGAGTCTTCCAGCAGCAGCCAACCATAGAGTGCGCTCTATGGTTGTGGGTTGGGTGCTGGAAGACTCTCTGTCCGGAAGACACTCTGTCCGGCAGCCGGCCCACAACCATAGAGCACACTCCTAGAGCGGCCGCTGCTGGAAGACTCGGCAGCCGAGTTTTGGAGTTTGGAAGCCAGAGAAGTAGTTATGCTCGGGGCGTGGCGGCAGCGCCCTGCAGGGAGAGCTGGGCCAGGGCATGATGAGGCTGGGAGGCATGCTTGCTGGGGGCAGAACAGGCGCTCGCGCATCCCCCCCTCTCCAGCCAGCCAGAGCTCCATGGACTAACCTAGGGGGTATCTCTAATGTGCCAAGCCACGGGAGCTGGGGAGCGGGCAGAGCGCCATGTGGCTTGGCACCTTAGGCATACCCCCTAGGTCAGTGAATGGCACTCCACCCAGCTGGAGAAGGGGTCTTCCGGGTGGCTGCTTGTGAGCATGGTCACCTCATGGCTGCTTCACCCCTGAGGCTGTGCCTGGGTCTTCAGGAGCCCACTCGCAAGGGAGCAGCTACCCGCCAACTCCCCCCTCCGGCCAGGCAGAATGCCACTCCCCAACCTAGTGGTATCCTGAAGCCGCCAAGCAATGTGAGCGCCTTTCTGCCCCCCCCGGCTCCCGTGGCTTGGCACCTTCGGGATACCACTAGGTTGGTGAGCGGAGGGGGGGTTGTCCAGGGGGATTATTTTCAGGGGTGGGCTTATATTTTTGCCCACGCGAAAAATGTGGCAAGGCGTTAGTTTCAGGACAGGTCGTATTTTCAGGGAAACACAGTAACTTCACCAAGGCGTGGGCTTTAAAAATTTCAGCAACTAGTTCTCTGCCCAGTTGCTGGGTGGGCACGTTTCCAGTCCGTTTCCGGAACTTCTGTAGGCCCGTTTTTCCCCCTCCCTGAGCCTCAGCGTGGGCCCTGCACTTACCTTGCATCCAAAACGGGCTGCATGGGGACTCCTGGGAGGGGCGGGGTGGGCGGGGCCAGCCAGAGGTGGGATTTAGCCATAACATTAGCTACGGGTTCTCCCGAACCTGGTCAAATGCGTAGCAGCCTGCCCCTGGCTTTACAATAAAGTAGAATTCACTCTTCTGGCCACGTTTGTGGTCTGTTCTATCCTGTAAGGCTCACTGTAGGTTTCATCGTTCTCTGGATGCCATGTTGATTCTCCTTTTCTTCAACAGAGGCCAGGAACTGTGGACTCTGTATTGTCATCCAGAGACGCATCCACTCCACCATTTCCCCCTCCCAACACTGCAGTGTTTCCAAGGTGGGTGTGCTTTAATAATCAGTCCACAAATTCTCTAACCTGCAAATTCATCTGCAGAATATGACAGGCCAGCAACTCCCAAAGATGCTCTTTCAAGAGGCAACTGGACTTCCTTCTTTTTCTTTGAAGACGTTTGTCTGCTCATCCAGGAAGCTTCTTCGGTTCTGACTGGATGGTGGGGAATGGAAGGATTTATATTCCTTGCAGACAGCTGGTCATTTGCATCCTTTTAGAGGGTCGTTGAGGCCACCTGGAGGTTTATCTATGTCCTCAGGGTCCCTGAGTAGTGCAAATGGGTGTGC